GGGATTTTATAGATATGTCTGAAGTCAGAGGGCACACGGGTTTAAAATAATATCTATACATATCTAAGCCAACCCAATTTCTGTCTTTAAAATAAGCAACTAATCATTTCACAGAGAACTCACTTTCCGGCCTTGATAGACTTCAGAAGCATCTCCGAGCACTTGTCGTTGAGAAATTCCACCCTTCAATATCTCTCCCACAGGCAAAATGTGGCAAGCCTCTCGCTGCTCTACCCCTACTTCCACAGAATGTGCACAGACGAACTACATTCCCTGGTCTCACCAAGTCAAACCTTCAGGGTAAGAACATGCCGTGTCACTTACATCGTAGCAGACCATTCACATTCCTTCCGTATTCCATCGGTGTAAAGTTCCACCCGAAGAGCTTTTTCCCGTGAATCACTGCCCTGTGGAACAGACACTCAAGAGGAGGTTTCCCGATCACTACAATCTTAATCGGTTCAAGATTAAGGTTAACTTATCTTCCACTCCTATACACACAACTGGCCTTCTAACGTAACCCTCTATCCTGAGTGGCTATCGGGCCTTATAAAAGGCGAACCTTTACGGTAAAACAAAATCGAGGCAAGAAATAACTAAGACGCAAGGAGCTACTGCGTGTGAAAGAATATAAGGAAAAGAAAAACATTAAGGAAAGAGAACAAAAAAAAAAAACAGACATTATGAAAAAAAAAAATAACGATTGATATTGCATTTGAATTTTTGAAATTGACTGGGGAGCAAGAAGCCGGAAGAGAGTTCCACAGGCGAGAAGTGCGAAGGAAGAAACTATTATAGAACATGGTTACATCTAACAATTTCAAATGTAAGATGATATCTAGTTCGGCGCTTAAATTCGTAATGTTGTGCTACCATAAAGGAAAGCTCATCAAAACAATTATCATGAAAGTATTTATAGGAAAGGCACAGAAATGTGTTATCAAAACAATGTCCTGATTAATCTGCTGAAGTCATTAACCATATTTTTTTTAAAAGATTTGAAAAAGAAAACATATCTATGAAAATAGTTTGTCATTTACCCTCAGCATTACTACTTTTAATTTCTGTCAGTTGTTAATCATTATTATTATTATTATTACTACAATAATAATAATAATAATAATAGCAAAGTGACGCTGGGTACAAATATACGGATCCCAATATACCCATAATTGACACCCAGTTTGATAAGGGTATACCAGGCACATATGTCACAATTGGAGGTGCGCAGAAGAATGAGCCGTCAGATTGATTTATCCATGGGTTCACTTTCTACGGCTTATCGCCATTTTGCAAGTTATTTAAAGCCAGAAAATATTTTTTAGATTTAGTGATACAATTCTTACTGATTAATCCATAGCTGGGAGGAGAAGAGGATGTTTGCGCATAAGTAAATATAACAAATCCAACAGAAATTGAAACTGCTCTCCAATTAACAATTCCGAGTCATTATTCATAACACCACCCGCACATCCAAGCTTACAGCACCTGGTATTCCCAAGCGGTTACCCAACTAAGTACTAAGCAGAGAGAGTCATAAAATAAATGGCTATAAAGAACTCTTGATCACCATAAAGAAGTTGAAGCTGAAGAAAGCTGTATGGCCATGTAACCAGATGGCGAGATCTCTCTCTCTCTCTCTCTCTCTGTCTCTCAAAGACCATCTTACAAGGAACGGTATAAGGAAGAAAGAGAATGAGACACCAAAGAAGGTCGGATAACGGAATCGAATGGACCGGCAAAAGTCATGTCCACACCCAGACACTTGCTAACAACCAAATAAAGGGTTCTTATTGAGGAAGCCACCATTCGGCACCCGCTACGGCCCTGGCGGTTTGTGAGACAGGTGGAGGAGGACCCCAACGCCCAAACGCTAACTCCGACAATTGTAGACTGAACATCCCACATGATTATTCATCAATAAATACTTTCATGGTAATTGTTATGGTACCTAGACTCTTCGAATTTAAGCGCAGCACTAGGATGGCAACGTGGTCTCAGAAATTTAAAATCGATCTACCTAGATGTATCCGTAAATTCTATCCTAACAGTTGCTTTTCTTACCCTTCTCGCTAGTGGAACTCCCTTCCGGCTTCATGCTTTCCAGCCAACGTTCAATTCCAACAATTTAAATACAATATCCGCTCACTATCCGCTGCCTTCCTGATTGCTTTTCTTTTGTTCTCGCTTCTTGACAATGTTCCCGTTTTTAACTCGTCTACGCCCAGTAACCCCTTACGTCTATGTGGCTTTGTTTTAAAAAAAAAAAATATCCATTTCTCTATATTTATTTTTATTCGTTTAAAATCCTATTGACAAAACGTTCATCAGTACTAAAAACACAGAATGTATCCTTTACCAAAAATTGTGTTATTTCCTCTTTTTTTTTTTTTTGTATTTTAACGGGTATGGCTAAACATCCAATCGAATACTTTTAAGGAAGTTCTCACTAACAGCAAAGCAAACGTATTATAGCAAAAGAGAGGGATCATAGGCATTGATATGTCAAAAGACGGATTAAGACTATGCGAAAATAATGATAGGTGGTACCATTCTACCTTGACTTCATGGAAATACACACTCCCATATCAATTGTGTTTTGACATCTATTGAGTTAGTGTTAACTCAGGCTAGTCTGATTTCTATCAAGGTGGTGTGAATTATTGGTGTTCGAACAGGAATGATAAAGGGTAGTATATGAGGGGTAAATTCTAGAGGTTGTGGGGACATTTGACAATGCTACTGTCACGCGTGTACTGACATAATTGCCCACGGATCTTTAATGATTATTACCAAAGGTGTCCGGCTAAAATTTTCCAGCGACACTGGATCAAATGTCATCTACATTCCATGCGGGAGGGACCAGCCACAACATCAGTAGATCGGCTTCCTTGGTTTATTGCAGCAGAAGAGGTTACCTCCCTCTTAGCACCAGACAGCTTCACTTGAGCTCATGGTGTCACTATATAGATCCTGGAGCACAGGCTAAGTGTGGCGTTTTCCGAGGAAAAATAGCTCCAGGACTGATGTTATGGTTCGTTTGTAACAAAAACCACAGGCCATGGGGTTGTCATCAAGGATGGAGGTTCCATAATAGTATTGGGTGTGTTAACATGACAGAAGTTCGCTGCTCCATCTAAATATGTCATTAACCAGTGACCGACATGTTTCTCTTCATGGACTCCATGAACAATGGATTATTCTAAGAGGATAATCCATAATGTCATAGTAGCCATGTTACTCAAACTGGCTTGAGTAGTCAGCCTCAGTCACTACATTCTGGCTTGAGTAGCCAGTACCTTCGCCCGACATGAACCCAATTGAGTATTGCAAAATAATGTTGTGGAGATTCCTATTAACACTTAGGATCCTGCATCTATAAAAATCAAACTGAACAACTATCGAAACTGTAAGGCTCAATATTTCAAGAAAAGGTTTACCGACCACTTGTGGGGTCGATGACATATCAATTTCTGGTACTTCGTCGGGTTAGGTATTACCAGTCATCTCGTGATTTTTGCTAGGTCAGTTAATTAATCTAAGGATGTACGTGATATAATTTTATTCCTTAGTGATAATAAGCCTGAACATGAACAAGGAAATCGTAAAATTTGAAAGCTATAAAAGAAAAGCTCTTTATTGTTTGATAAACACCGATCCAATCAAGGCATGCGTATAGAATGTGTTTAGTAAATGTGGGTGTAGCCGTGGTTGAAAAATCGAAAACATTAACCACATCAAGTGAACAACAATTTCTCATGCTTGTTACTAAGGCTCAGAAGAGATAGGAAGTTTAAACACGAGGAAGAAGAAAGAGGACAAAGAAGAAAAATAAAAAGAAAAGGGACCAAGAAGAAAAATTACAAAGAAGAAAAGAAAATTTGGTTGGTTGTTTTATGACATATCAACCTCAGTGGGTCATTTTATGTCAACAAAATTTTGAAATTCATCAGATAATATTCCTCAAAGTCTATGAAAAGTACGTTTTGTTTTGGATTTTTTGGGTTTGGTTCGTTTTCTTTTACGGTATGTCGACCTCAATGGATTTAATGCCGCCGAATTTTTTTTTTTTTTTGCTGGTAATATTTAGTTTTGTCAAAAATCTATTTCTGGTAATATTTTTCCTCAGAAAATGTATAGCTGGTAATAATTTTTTTTTTTTTTCCTTCAAAAATTTAATTCTGGTATTAAAACCTATTTTTACACTTTTATAATGCTTTTTACCTCAGTTTCGGGGTTAACTATTTGCCCATAGCTGGAACCCTAACAGGTGCTACCACCCCGGGTAAAGTTGAACCTGGGAACACCAGCAATGAAGAGGTGGTTCCACGCTCCTCAAAACCTCCTGCTCAGAGGCCTTGCTGTTGGACGTAGTTTATCGTCTTACCCTGGACACGGGTGTAGTTTATCGTCAATACCCAGGACGGTTTGGTTTGGTTTGTCATATCAACCTCAATGGGTTATTTAATGCCGACAAAATTTTTATTGCTGGTAAGATTTTGTTTTGTCAAATTTCCTTCAAAATTGTATTGCTGGTAATAATTTTTTTTAAAATTTATTGCTAGTAATAGTTTTTTTCTTCAAAACTTTATTGCTAGAATTTTTTTTTTTTTTACAAAGTATTTCTAGTATTAAAATCTGTTTTTACAGTTTCATAGTGTTTTTACCCCAGTTTCGGGGTTAACTATTTGTCTATACCTAGGACCCTGACAGGTGCTACCACCCCGGATCAGGGCGGACCTGGGAACACCAGCAATTAAGAGGTTGTTCCACGCTCCTCTAAACCTCCTGATCAGAGGCAGTTTATCGTCTTACACTGGACGGGGATCTCGTTTATCGTCTTACACTGGACGGGAAAAGAAAAGAAAAAGGACAGAGAAGAAGAAGAAGGCAAAAAAAAAAAAATGGCGAAGAAAAGAAAGAAAACAAAAAAGAAAAAAAGGACAAAGAAGAAGAAGAAAAAAAAAAGGACAAAGCAAAAGAAAAGAAAAAGGACAAATTCAAAGAAAAGACAAAGAAGAAGAAGAAACGAAGCAAAAAAAGGACAAAAAAGACAAAACAAAGAAAAGGACAAAGAAGAAGAGAAGTAAAGAAAAAGGACAAAGAAGAAGAAGAAGTAAAGAAAAAGGACAAAGAAGAAGAAGAAAAAGAAAAAGGACAAAGAAGAAGAAGAAGTAAAGAAAAAGGACAAAGAAGAAGAAGAAGTAAAGAAAAAGGACAAAGAAGAAGAAGAAGAAAAGAAAAAAAAGAAAAAAGGAGAAGAAAAGAAAAAAGGAAGAAGAAGAAGAAGAAGGAAAGAAAAAAAGAAGAAAAGGACAAAGAAGAAGAAGAAGTTTTTTAAAGAAAAGAAAAAGGAAAGAAAAAAAAAAGAAAAAGAACAAAGAAGAAGAAGGAAAAGAAAAAAGGACAAAAGACAAAAAAAAAGGACAAAGAAGGACAAAGAAAAAAAGGACAAAGAAGAAGAAGAAGAAGTAAAGAAAAAGGACAAAGAAGAAGAAGAAGAAGTAAAGAAAAAGGACAAAGAAGAAGAAGAAGAAGTAAAGAAAAAGGACAAAGAAGAAGAAGAAGTAAAGAAAAAGGACAAGAAAAGAAGAAAGGAAAGGACAAAGAACACTACTACTCAAAGCCATCTAAAATGAAGACAATTCACAAACACATAAAATAACTGTACAAAAGAGGGTCAGTAAGTCCGTAGCTTGACAGTTATTATTTAACCTAATTTAAATGTATATATTCATTTTAAAAAAAAAAACGTTTACCACGAACAGACGCACAGTGGCATCTCTTTGCTGGTTAAGAATTCCACTACTTAACCTTTTAAACTATTAGCCCTCAGATATGCCTGCAATATTTTTCGTGCTGAGAGAAAAACAGATCTACTATTTCTCCTAGAAAGGTTTTTATTAGACTTATATATTAAGATAAAGAACAGAATCCATTACAAATTGTACATTGTTCTATGGCGTAAGCATCCGTTATTTCAAAGTATCACATCTTAAATTGCTCGACTCGTGTGTGTGTGCGTGTGCGTGTGCGTGTGTGTGCGCGCGGGCGTCTGTGAGTTAAGTTGGAAGAAAATCTAACGAAATTATAAATCATGAAGACAATTCACAAAAACATAAAATACACTGTACAAAAGAGGGTCAGTAAGTCCGTAGCTTGACAGTTATTATTTAACCTAATTTTAAATGTATATATTCATTTAAAAAAAAAAAAATTTCACTATGATGTTCGCCCTGTACAAGGCACGGGAGCCACACGTGGTTGATGCTTACTAAAAACTAAGTTTAAGACATCCGTATACCGTAAACCGATGACCACCGAACAGTACCTCAATTTCAACTCCCAGTTTATTCAAATCTATGGGGGAAATGACGGTTAACGCTATATATTAACAGATCAAGATTGTAGTGTTAGGGGAAGTGCTGCTCTGTGTAACCAAAAAGAGGATGTCTTTTGGGAATTGGTTCCACGGAGTAGCACTTACTGGGAAGAAACTGCTGGAGTGGAATAAATCTCACCAATGGAACACAAAAAGAATGAGGGTGGTTCTATATGATGGGCGTGGCATGGCGGGTCTTAGTTCCACCATATCTAACCTTCACGGCTAAAGAATATAGTTCGTCTGAACATTTTCCATGGAAATAGCAAAGTAGCGAGAAAGTTGCGACATCTCGTCTGTGAAAAAAGGGTTTTAGGGCGGAAAATAATTTGTCACTCACAAAGACGAGTAGACGCTTTCGGACTATCGACAGCGGAAAGTAAAGACTGGACAGCTCTTGACCATATATGGCAACACTACTCTATTTTTGGGTTCATCTGTCACTTGTAAAAGGTATAAGATAGCCGGAATCGGGTACCTACTGGAGCGGTACAGAAAAGCGACCAGCACCTTCAGGGGTGAATCGTATGTACAAATTCCACTTTCCCACCTCACTGTCCTTCATTGAATCTCGTAGACAGCTACAGAATCTCAAATGTTAACGGTAATATTAGCTGTTCCCCTACAAAGAAACATTTGGCATTCATTGACCAAGCAGACAGTACTGCTTTCAGTTGAAATCTTTCTCTGAAAAAATTTCTTAGGAAAGCAGGTTTCTCAAGTCCAGTAGCTGTTATCGCTCTTTCCAGTACAAATGGAGGTTTCCTTCCTAAACTTCTATTTGAAGTGGTCTGGAATATCACCATATTGATTTTGTCATTTTCTTTTTGAGTTACATATGCTATTCATTTTAGTTGTTGCTGCTGTTGGTAGTCCTCAAGTGATGTAGTTTCTATTATTTGGTACAGTTTTGGTAGTTACAGATTCTGTAGCACCAGTCCACAGTGTTCAGAACAGGATGATCTTTGCCAAGACTAAGGATTTATTCATTCAACTTTACCAAATAAACCACATCACTTGAAGACTTTCAACAACGGCAACGACTAAAATGGATAGCAGAACTCGAAAAAATGAAGATGACTTTCTACACAACGTTAACCAAACGCTTAGGAAGGACACCACCATAAAATACTGTAAGTTCAACTTACATTAGGATTGGCAGCTCGGTCAATGAATACCAATTTGGTTCGGTTTATTTTGTTTTACGATATATCAACACCTCAATAGGTTATTTAATGCCAACAAGATTATTTAGGATAGGTTTGCATGAATAGAATATGTATTCTTTGTGAGAAATCAGTTTGTAGATCAGGTTTCATTTTTGTGAATAGGGTTTTGTGAATCTTAGGGAGACCGTATATGTGAGGTAGCTTGGTGTAACGCTGCGATAGCTGTCTATACGTCTTAGGTGTGAGGTGATCCTTGGTCTTGATTAGGATCTGTGACAGATTTTCATAGTAGGATTCATTTCCACTTTGCTGTAGCTACCATTGCTAATGAGGTCTTCCAGCTTTCTTGTATAATCAGATTCACAAAGACAGTATTCCGCTCAGGCCAAGGCTGTGTGTGCCACTCTCTGAGTCGCTTCCTTGTAGATACAATTGACCCATTGATCGGAAAGTCTCCTTCATATGTCCGAAACTCCGCCCACTTGGTGGAAATAATCAAAGATGCTCCCATCCTATCCAACCAGATGGTTTGTTTGGATGTGGTGAGTTTGTTCACCAAGGTACCCACGGAGGAGGCACTCTTAGTAGTCAGAGACAGATTGACTCTTCCATAGAAGAACAGACCAGTATTCCAATAGATAATCTGATGGAGATGTTGACTTTCTGTACACAAACAACACACTTCGGAATGGGATCACACACATATCGACAGGATGAAGGCTTAGTAATGGGCTCGCCATTATCACCAGCAATAGCGAATATATACATGGAATACTTTGATGAAATGGCATTAGAATCTATATCTCTAAAGCCAACTCTATGGTTAAGGTACGTCGATGACACCTTCATACTCTGGCCACACCAGGAAGATGTTCAGGTTCCACTGGACCATGTGACTCAATAAGACCTTCGATACAGTTCACAATGGAGAAAGGGAGTAACAACATACTCCCATTCCTGGATCTTCTAATATCTCGAACAGAGCATGAGTTTAAGACATCCGTATACCGTAAACCGACATTCACCGAACAGTACCTCAATTTCAACTCCCACCATCCATACATCGTAAAGAAAGGGATTGTCCGTTGCTTACAACACCGAGCAAAAGTCATAAGTGGCGACCCAGAGACGTTAATTAAAGAATTGGTCAGTATAAATAGTGCCCTACAGCGTAACAACTACCCTGGGTACATGGCAGCAGCCCCAAAAAACTGGGATAGGCGGGTACAAGAGGAGGAGGACAGCAACACTAAGAAAACAGTCTGCTTGCCTTATGTGAAGGGGTTATCAGAGAAAATACAAAGGATCTGCGGTTCATATAACATCAGGACAACCTTCAAAAGCTTGACGACACTTCGCAGATATCTCTCCCGCGTAAGACCCCTCCATAGAGGAGAACATGACTAAAGACTATTTATCCTCGAAGAATTATCGGAATCAAAAATATGTTTTCGAATTTTTTTTTAAGCCACGACAATGTAGTCCTTTCATTCTACATGAAGTGGACATTCCCTTCAAAAATAATTTATTATATTCTAATTTACAGAAACATGTACATCACAAAACAGAACGTCACAATGTATTGGAGCCATGATAAAGTTTCTCCTCCAATCAAAAATAAATCCGGGAGAGGTGTGTCAACATCGAAAAGAATCGCCCCATACATACGAGCACAGATGGGCTACCAAAACTTGAGCCTACCGATAAATGAAGTTAAGCTACAATATAAGATAATCTGTTCTAAAGCAACATTAAAATGCCATCACTATCATAAAATTGCTCAGGTGGAACGCATATCAAACTTAGTTGTCTGAATGGCCGCCTGAGTTAAATGGCGATTCGGCCACTTAATATATCAGCGGTTGGACGCGATGTGTGCTGTAACGTTAATAGAATACGGAATACTATTTTTTTTTTATTAATTTCTGACTTAATATGCTAAATATGTTAACCAAACAAGTTTTAGTTGGATATATTTGTGGCAACCTGCTGGAGGTACGTCAAGTGGCATACAGTAATTGTTAGGAGTGCTGACACATTTGTTTACAACTCGGTGGTAAATGTTTGCATTTTATACTCGCCATATAAGTCGACCCCTAGTTTTGGAAACATTTGTTTAGGCTTGAAAACTAGATTTGTAGATCGCAATTTACGATAGTAAAGCGTTTTGTTCTGAAAAAAGTTTTTCCCCTCATTTCGTCATTCACTAATCTACGAGTGACAATGCCAACGCCCACCTCCTGATGATTCATCGTTTATCCTTTCAAACAGTCACCGTCAGGGGTAATAATAGAAGGAAACATTTTTTGCTCTAAGCAGATAAAGCAGTTAACGGAGAGTAGTTTATTAAAGCGCCCACACACCTATTTTCTTCAACCATTATTACCTACCAAAAATGAGAAATAGACAAGCTATAAATGAAAGCCAAGTTCGAACCATGATATTTTTGGTCTGTGGGCGATAGAAATTTTGGATATGCCTTGCGTATAGGAAGACTCCATTTTTCTTCAGCCACATCACAAAAAATCTATGTGCCATGTCCCTCTAGGTCGATTATGGTTTTCCACAATTTCCTGTCCTTTGTAGAGTTTAATATTGTTATCTCTTAAACTTTGCTCCGCCATCTATTCCTTCTTGCTTTTGATCTGTCCCATGAGTATCAGATTTTCAAAACTGTCTTTCCTGATTATGCGACCTAGAAATTTCAACTCTCCCTAAGTACAAGTGTCCTTTTTGTTTCTATTTTCTCTAAAACTTTGTCATTGCTTACATGCTCAGTTCATGGTATTCTCAGCATCCTTCTGTAGAACCACATTTCTCTCGTTTCAAGTCTTCATCTATGAAGAGATTGTCCAGCATTCACTGCCGTATAGGAGCACTGATATTACATAATAGTTCATTACTCTTTTCTTTGTTTCTAACGAATTTTTTTTTCGTGTTTCTTAATGCTTGCTAATCTTCTTAAAGGCATCTTTGGCTAGCCCAATGCGTATTCGGATTTCAGTGCTGCATTATCTATCCTGTTAAAGCACTTCCTAGATATTGAAATTGCCGTACAGTTTGATTTTGGCATCTCTAA